AGAAAGGAAGTGAGTGAAGTCATTTTTGGATTTGAAATTTTTAGCTGACATTTTTTTTAATATCTCAAAATTTATGAAAAAAAAGATCAACTGAGTTTTATTCTATGTTCAATAAAATTGTAAGATCACAAAATTCTTCCGTAATTAAATTTTGCAGATCAAAATTTGAAAACAATCAAAAAAACTAATGTAATTAGATATATTCAAAGAAGAATATCATTGCTAACATCTAATTTTTATTTAGCTTAAAAAGAATAATGAAATATTATTTGCTCACATTACAACTGAGTGATAAAAATTGAAAGAAAATTTCAAATAAAAATTATTATCAACAAAATATGAAACAAAATAATAAGTATAAAATGATTATTAGCATTAATGTTATGTTATAAAATTGAAATTGTTGACTGCAAAAATTGGGCTTTTATTCGTATATAATTATCCTTCGAGCGTGTTAATTAACGCATAATTATCCATTAATTAGCTAATATATTCCAGATTGCTATACAAGACAAGAAAACAAAATTTAAATGAAAACTAACAAAAATAATGTTTAAATTATTTCAGTGAAAGTGTACGAAAAGAATGATAGTAGTAATAGAGTTAAGATAAGTGAAGCAAGAAATTAAAGTGGAAAGCAAGAAATTTTAATAGTTAACAGTGGATAGAATTCTGCTACAATAAGCAATAAAGTAAAGGACAATTAATATGAAGTATAATTGTGCATTTGCGATTTTTAACAAAAATTTTTTAGCATAAAATTGCATTTAGCTACAAACTTCACCATATCAGAGAATTTAGTTAATTCCAATAATTATGCATTTCAGTGAAAAGCTTCCAACAACTTTTGTATAAATTAATTATAACTTATGAATGATTGCAGTAAACTAAGCATTACTGATTGCAGCAATTAGTTTGAGTTATGATCTTCTAAACTTTGTAAATAAATTTGTTGCAAAAATTTGATTAACTTAAATATAAAAAAAAGGATTACGGTTATTTGTAATTATTTATAAATTAAAACAATAAGAGCAATGATTGGCCAATTATTTGATAAATAGACTGATAAATGAATTAGCGAATGGCAATTACAGTAATTTTGTGACAAGCTTTCGCTATAAAATTGAAAAAAGTAATGTTTTGATTAAAAAAAATGAAAACAAACCAAGTAGTAGCAATGGATAATTACTATCAGAGACAATTACTGAGACGCTAATCTTCAAACTGAGCAAATGACAAATATATTTATACATGGAAGCTTGATGATAATAAGTAGATAGATAGATAGATAGATAGATAGATAGATAGGCAGATAGGTAGATAGATAGATAGATAGATAGATAGATACATACATAGTCAGATAGATAAATGGACTTAGACAATACTATTTATTGCAATTTTTTCAATCATTTTCCTTGCTGTTTTAAAGCTAAATAATTTCGTATACAACTTTACTTCCTAATTTCTCATTTTTATATTTATGTCATTAGTACATATATAATTAGTTATTTACAGAGGAAATGTGCTAGCAATGCAAGTATAATCTAAATTGATCTAGCAGACATAATCTGATCTAAACAATGTCAAGTTTCCGTTTCAAGCCTAGCAAAGCTAATCTAATTTTATTTTAAAAAGTTTTACAAAGATAAGAGCAATCTGATCGTATTAAGTTTGATATGTATGATCTCAGGAAAAAGTTGTATAACAACAAGTATAATACGATTAAATCCAATTCAAGAAGAAATCCAAAAACATTAAATTTAGCAATCACAATTATTTAGTCAAGTTTATTTTCAGCTTCTGCTTTAGTTTTTTCTCTAAAAAGTTTAGAAAAATTGAACAATAATGACTAATCATAATTTATAAATATTAAAATAAAATACTATATAAAAAATTACAATGATATAATAATATAGTTCTCTTTCATTGTATTGCATTCATAAAGATTAAGTTATTTAAATTATGATTTTGATTACATTATTTTTGATTTTATTGTTATAAAGTTTTCTACTCTTAAAATTTACGCCTATTTTATTTAAGCAGAATATGTGATAGGCTAAAAAATAAATGATAAAAGTAGAAATGTGAACTTTACTTTAGAAATTCAACTAGCTATTTTGAATGAGCGAAAATTGCAAATAACTAATGAACTTCCGTTTTTGAGCTTTTTCATGCAAAAAAAAGCATGAAAAAGTTTTTTTATACTTTTGACATTCAATTTTTTTCTGAAATACTTTTTGTATTAAATATATTTCAGTTCATTAATTTTTTGATACTTGGCATTTGATGTGTTTTTGGTGCAGAAAAAGTACAAATTTTAGTATATCTTATCATTAATTTGCATAACTTTTTTTTCTCAAATTTTTATTTTATTCAAATATTTATTTGTTTACTTATCAACTTAATAATTAAGTATCTATTAATGCAATTATATTGATATTGGTATTATTATTTTTATTACTGTCATTACTGTCATAATTATCATTGTATTTATGAATAATATTTATTTATGTTACTTTTATTATAATTTTCAATTGTTTTTCTTAACTATTTGGATGGAAATTTTTTTCTTTACACCGAAAATTTTTCATGATAATTTTAAACCTTTTTAATTTTTTCATTAGGCGTTAGATTAAATGCTATTATCTATCAATTAGATGCTAATTTACTTATTAACTATGATAAAATGAGTTCTGATTATGATTTAAGATGATGCATTTCTTTATTATCAAGAATTATATTACAAAATAGAACTATTTATTTGAAAATCAGTTGAGTAACAAGTGAACATTATGCTTTATAAATATTTGCTTTCACTACTACTGACACTTAAACGATAATAATAATTTATCACGTTAATAGACATTATGTTTTACGTTGAAAAAAATTAATCTTTCATTTTCAAGCACAAAAACTTAATTATATCGCATCAAGAATTAGTAGTATGAATTTATTAATTAGCAAAAAAAACCTACAATTCCTTTGATTAAATTATTCATAATCTTATTTGATTGCTTGATTAGTGAACAAAAGTTGGCAAACTGTTTATTATATCGAGCAATTACTCAAAAATTAAAACTAATTTTAACTCAAATTCATTACTGAAAATTTTCGACTTTTAAAATTATCAATTTTTATCCATTTTCTACCAATTACTGAAACTTTTTGAATTGCATAGAGAAATATGAAGACTAAAATGGCAATAAATTTCACTTAATTCTCAATCGAAACTATGGACAAAATGAAATGCAATATTTCTTCTTCTTTGTCAACAAATTAATATTTTCACAAAACTTTGAAATAAAAACTTGGCTAAAATTAAAGTTATTATTGCTTTATTCTATTTGTATTAAAACTTCTTTTAATTCAAAATATATTTTGTGGTACTAAAAAATTTTTGAGTGTAAACTTTTTGTATGAATAAATTTGAATTTGTAGTTTGAAATTATTTCTCAAACTATTTGTATTTAAAAAATTATAGGAATTTAGCAAAAAAACATTATATTCTCTTTAATTATTATTTCTCTAATTGAAGAATTGAAATTAATAGTTTGAATATTTTAATTGTGAATTTCAATCCTTCCATAAATTTGAAAAAATACGTATAATTCAAAATATTAATGACTTTTACTGACTTATTCTTATTATTTCAATGAATTCGGCAATTCTTATTATAATTTTCAAAAATTTATTCATTACTTTTTTCTCAAATACTATTAAGCTTCTTATTTTACCATTTCATTTCTGTAAAACTTTTTATTGAAATTGAATTCAAAGAAAATGGATGAAAAAATTACCGGAAATAATAATTAACGTTTATAAAATATTAATGTGAACTGTTTAAATAAAGCAACTTTTTATTTTGTGCTTAAAAGTTACTTTAAGATTTATTTTCATATTCAATTTTAATATGCTTTAAGTTTATCTTTTCCTTTTTTAAACTTTTTATTAATAACTTTTTTAAATTTCATTTCGGGATAAAAATTTTTCATTTTTACTTTTCAAAATATGAAATTTTTTGAGGTCAAAAATAATTCTAATAAATAACGCACAAATTCAACGACTTCATATTGCATAAGCAAAAGACTCTTTAAAAAAGTCTCATTAAAGTGATTAGCTGCAATTATAATTATAATTTGTACAATACTCCGATTTTCATTTATAAGAAGTCTATTAAAAAAATATCAAACTTTGATCTTAAATTAAAAAATGCAATCTGATCAAATATTTTGTTTTTAAAAATTTAAATTTGCAAATTAAAACTCATCACAGATTTCCATATATAATATTTAATCGTTTTATTTTATACAATCGTTATTTCCATGAAAACACTATTTGTAATTTATGAGCAAATAACATAATTGATGAATGTAATTGAAAACTGACAAAAAAATGCGATAATAATTACGATTTATTTATACAAGCCTTGTTATACATAGATGGAATTTGAGCACATTTATACAGTATCCCTTCGACAATACATGAAAAGCTATAATAAACTTAAGCAATTGTTCTAAATTTTCGAATTGGGTTTCACTTCATATTAAATTTAAAACAATATTGACATTAGCATAATAATAATACATGCAAGTAGACAAAAAGGAAAACCCGAATTCAATGATTTGCTGACTACAAATGTGACAATATTATGCCGTTGTGTTCCGAATTCAATTTTAAGATGAAAATCAAGATAATCTTGTGATTTTTACACATTTATTTCAATTTAAAAATTTTTGAATTCAAAAGTTTGTATTTTAAATGAATGTTTTCACAACATATTTTATAAAAATTTGAAATTTGGTAACAAAAAATTATGTCAATTTGAAGTTTAAAAGAACAGCAGTAAACAGCAGTGAGCAGAGTACTAATTTGTATGCATAATTTACATAAATTAGAAAATTTTTTATTTTTGTCTTGTAAAATTTAATACTTTCAGCAGAACAAAAAGTTAACGCAATGAATGTTAACTTTTTGTGCTTATTTCACGTGAAGTATTTTACTTATTTCAAGTATTGTTGCTCTATCACATTTCGTCGCCTTCTAACAGCATCGGTTAGCGGAATTTCATGAGAAACGAAACCTTCTGATATTGTGCAACTAATATTTCCAGTATTTCGTTTAGATCTTATCAATTCACTCAAGTTATGAAGTTCGCGTGTAATTTCAGCTAATTGATGCTCCATGGCCGTTATTCTTACCGACAAACCTTCTTGAGTATTTTGGATATCGTGTACTATCTCATACGTATTTGATGTTGTCTGAAAAATATTAATTCCTCAAATTAAAAAGTTTGCATACATGTATACAGTAAGTAGGAATTACAATGAATTAGTGATATAATATAATAATTACTATATAACCGTGGTAATTA